TCTAAATTAGGAATGTGCTGGGAGTTTCATGGTTTGGTGCTTAAATTATTTGCTGCATTAGGACCTGGACTACTTGTCATTATTGTTGGACCCATAAATTTGGTGTTGTATCAAGAAATACTGGAGAAGAATGTCAGGCCATCCCTTTGTCAGCTGAAGCTGATTTGAATGTAGATCATGCAGCAAGACAATGACCCTAAACATACAAGAAGATATACAACAGAATGGTGGGAGAAGATTAAATTTCTCAGAATGGACCACATTTCGAAAGGCATAAACAGTTTGTCTAGTTAAAGTCATTGTTGATCTACTGAGAACTGAGGGTTCACATACTTCACTTAATTTTGGATCATATTATTGATCAAATAATCCAAATTCGGTATATCTTACATTTTTGTGCTATATGTTAAATCAGGTTTATCTTAATTTTTTTATTAAGACTTACATGAAGATCTAATTATATATTAAGTACATTATTATTATTAAAATATATGCTAAGTATTTACCGTTTATATTTTATATGTATGAACCAGTATGAACCAGACAAGAGGGTTCACTAACTTTTTCTTGCCACTGTGGTCATAATTTGCCTTCAGAACTTTGTGGACTTATAAAGTTAGTTGACCAATTCGAGCAAATATACAGTACCTTGGAGCACACATAAAAGAGAGCTCATAAAACAGGGCTATGTGCCCTTTGAGAATGACAATATACAATGACAAGGTCATGAACATCAACTCTGTCCACCAAGAAATGTGAGCAAGCTACATCAGTTGTTAAATATATTGTATTTATATATTACATTCTGTTGTTGTCTTTGGGAACATATGCTCCATGTTTAAATTTGCTTGTGTATCAGATTTATTGCACTGTGGTTCACAAGTCAACTAACTTTGTTTATTTACTAATGAACCCTGTACATTTGAACTTCCAAACAATTTAATACCAGTAGAGTCAAGTTTGTCAAAATTCTTTTGGAGATTTCATTCATATGTATTATACTGACTACTTCTTTACAGGTGATGAATAGTTGCACATGCTCTATTAAGTGTTCAAACTTATACAGGTTCATGCAGGGATTACAATAAGGTCTGATAACCAGGTGTGTGAAACAAAGTCAAAGAAGTACAAGTCTACTACTTCTATGATTAATGATAATATTGAACAGCAGCAATTTTGTAGCTACAATCGGAAGTAAATACATAATTACTATAATTTATTTAACAACAGATGGATGTTAAACTATCAGCTTGTCACCTACATGGTCATTATTTCTATCTGTTCCTGTTTTCCATCCTAATGTTTATGTTCTGAGTCATTTTCCATTGTTATTGTTTCTTGGTCTGTTAATTGCTATTAAATGTATCTGGAAAGCATTTTGAGGGTCTGTGAAGCTAAGCAGTCGGCTGAATAAACAGATTAAAAATCACAAAGCTCCAGAACAAGTGAAAAATATATCTGACATATACCTGGAATTAGTGACTTTTAAGTGAGTTATATGCAGTGTGAGTGTGAATATAGAGTCTTTAACCTATTAACCCATCAGTTAAAGAGCTTCATGTTTCATGGTGCAGTAGGTGGAGTAGAGTATAGTAAAACATGAGTGGAGGAGTAATACAAAAACATATATACATGTACTGGTAGAGACAAGTAAAGTATTTTAATTACTGTATATATTTTAAATTAGCTACTTCATTTCAAAATATTAACCTCTGTTGAGATGAATGATTGAACGTACAAGAGGTATCAAGAATAAATATGGGTACCTAGTGATGTTTAGGCAACAGTATTGAATAGAGGGCAGGAAGGGTGTGGGTTCCAGAGCAGGAAGGCTGTGGGTGGTTTGCTGCTATGGTAGCCTACTTGACTCATGTGCCTCAAGTGAATTCCTTGCTATATAAACGGGTACTCTCTATCCATCCATTTTCTAAATATTTCCTCCAATTCAAGGTTGGGGGTATCCAGAGCCTATCCTGGAAAACAATGGGCAGAAGTGGGGTACATCCTGGATGGGAAGCAAGTCCCACACACACTCACGCCAGGGTCAATTTTCCCAGAAGCCAATTCACCTACAGTACCATTATCTTTTTGGACTGTGAGAGGAAAACCAACTGAACATAGGGAGAACACACAAACTACATGCAGAAAGCACCACGGGTTTGGAATTGAACCTAGGGCCCCAAGATTGAGAGGCAGCAGTGCTGACCACCACATCAATGTGCCATCCCTCTCCAGATTGTGAATTACTTACAAGCATTCATTCTCAACAGACTGGTTAACTAACTTTTAACGAATGTTTTTTTTCTGAATGACCCGGTTCTAGTTTCCGGATACCATTATTTATGTTTGAAACATCACAAGATGTACTCTTCCAAGCCCTAGAAAAACTCAATGCAATTTATTGGAAATTCTGTACACTGAAAAAAAGAAAACCAAGAAAATATTAATTTGAAAAACGTAATGGAATAAAAGCCCACCCATCCTCTTTGAGCATTAATGACTGATCCACTGTGCACATAATACTTACTGTATGACTAATGACTGTGATTCCTGCCATAATTGCTTCAAAACATGCAGTAAGTGGATAAAATGTGCTACAAATGAGAAGATGTCCAATCTTGCTCATCCTTTTCCTTAAAGATGTTTATTGATCATTGTCTCATCTCAGTGTGACTTGGCAGTATTTTCCTTAAGCCCACATTGCTTTGTGTAATGATGTGCCTCCTCTTCTCATGGCTTAATCAAATTGTGCTTAATTTCTATTTATGATTTAAGTCTTTGGTGAGTCAGCTGCAAAACATCTACAGTACACATATCAAAGAAATAAAAGGTCACTTACGAAAATGGAAACAAAGCACAGTGTGATATTTTTACTTGAAAGTGATCTGAAATGTGGAAAAAGAAATCAACTGCATGAAGTTTTGGGAGCAGAAGAGCAGGCCTTAAAAAGGTTACTTCCCCCTCCAGCAGTGACAAAACGGAGTTGGTGGAGTTTTGTCGCCCAGATATGTGGCACGATTTGAGTTTGGACTGCATCACTAACCAGGATTCTCCTAGTAGCAGTGTACAATTGGCTTAGAGTTAGTGGACAGGATTCTTTCATCTTTGGATCTAAGAGCAACTCCTAAGAAAGGCTAGGCATCTTTAAGCTTGCTGTCATATCAGTGTAAGACACACGCTTGTGAGATATTGTGGAGCTCGCTGTGTTATATGGAATATATGAGTGAGAAGTGAACATCAATTTCCCTACGGGATTAATAAAGTATTATCTATCTATCTATGTCAGTGTACTGTATCTGCAGCTCCCCATTTTACCTGTTCAGCACAGGGGTTGCGCCCACAAAGGTGAGTGATAAAAAACCTTTCACATTTGATGGAGAAATCATCAGTTTTTTATGACCCACCTTTATAAGAAGTAGAAAAATTATAAGATAAAGGAATAGAACAATAATTGGAGAGTGAAGATCGCTGTGTCCAGAGACTGCGTGTTCCAATCTTGAATATGTCTTTAGACTAAAGCTTTCATTTTTAATATAAAAAGTGCAGTGATACAGTACTGTATATCTGTCACACCCTCTGCAGGAAGAGGGCACTTCTACTCTGTCCTGTCCCTAGTTTCCTGTGCTTTGCTGTCCTTCTGGTGTCTCTCTGTTTGGGGCTATACTGTATATTTCCGGGTCACTCAAACCTCTTCACTCAACATTGACGTTCGGATGTCCTGTAACCCGCCTAGCACCAGGTCGCTGCTAGAAACCGGCATAGGTTTCTATATGGCAATTCCTGAACTCTCGCACTGCTGAGCAAAGGCTAACCCCCATCCCACCGCTACGCATAGGGTCTTTTTCCGCTCTCTTGCCATACCACAGTTCGTCCCTTCTGACATCCGTGACAATATCCTCCAGGTTTCTTTCTGTTTTCTGTCCTTCACAGCTGCTAGAAGAATGGTTGTGCCCAAACCCAGAAGGTTCTTTTGTTGCTTTTGTTGCTGATGTCACTATACTATCAGATGATAGTTCAGTTTATACCGGCATTTTCAAAGAGAGATCTGTATTTCTTAAATTTGCCAAAATACATGTACTGTAGGGGCATTGCTTTTTTAACTGTGGGAATATCTTATATCTAACTTTACGTTTTCTTTTAGAAATTCTAGGTATGGAAGCTGATTTAATTTTTTAACTACTTCCAGTCATTAAAAAAAAATAGACTAAGCACTACAACCCCTGTACAGCACAGGGTCAATAAGGAACTGCGCATACACACCTCTGACTTTCCAGCCTGTCAGAGGTGTTTGCCATTGAAAACCATATGAGCTCCAGAGTGCCTCACAGGAGAGTTAGTACTGATCTGAGAGAGATATACAGTATCTCTCAGTGACAATGCTGAAAGGTCTCAGAGTTCTCTGTAGCAAGGAATCATGGGATTTGGCCTTAGCTGACTCTGTACTAATTGAACACAACTGCATGAGATATCCTAGTCACAAACAGTCAATGTCAGAGCACAGACTTGCAGCTGCTTATTCTGAACTTGCCTCTGAGCAAGCTACTTCACCAATTGAGCTTCTGGCAAACCCCCTGCTATTCATTTTATATCCAAATTGATATAGCAAAGGTGATATACACTAGGTGACATATCAAAAATCACATAATCTGCTCATAAGAAGACATGCAGTTCATCACTTCATCCTATTTCAATTGTAGTAGAATAACCGTAAGAAATGTGGAACCATTATAGCCTTTTCATTCTTTTGATGTTTAAATTGAAAGGTGGCTTATAGGGCTTTGTGTAGGCCTTTATATTTTATAGTTTATAATATGGTTTATATTTTGGAAAGAGAGAATGGAAAGCTAAAAGAGCAATCTATACAATGCTAGAAATCAGCAGAGAAACAATTGGCTCTTTAAAACAAGGTCAGTGCACAGATTAGAATATTGAATGTGGGGAGAGACATCTCCAAAGAGCTCATTGCAAAGTAAATAACTTTGTCTTTTTTTCCTTTTCAGTGGCGCTTAACCTGCTTTAAGCAATGATGATGGTCATTTGGAAAAAACACAGCATGAAATCATCATTCTGGTAGATTGCCTCAGTACAAATAGACCTCTGAATGAAGCAACCACTATACACAGGTAAGAAAAAGACTCAGCATCATTTGAATGTCATTACTAGCGCTAATACCTTTGTAAAAAAACTACAGGGTTGTCCACAGCAAAATGGTCTGTTTTATGATTATACTGCATGTAACATTCACTTCCATGCCCAGACTCTAAACTGTACTGTAATCATCATCCATTAATCTTACCATCAAGGTATAATAGACAACTTTAAGACAACTATTGCATAATAGAACAATTGTTTAAAATTAGGATTTTCAAAAGAAGATATTTTCCACAATCTCAGATAAATCTCAAAGTGGCAGATTTGGAAAAAAAAAAGCAGAACACAAACATACTGTATATGGTTCAAATATGAACTTTACAGAACAAAATATGTAACTAAAACATAACTTTGAGTTATTAAAAATATAACAGCAAGAAAAGTGCACCATTACCACACAACGGCATCCATTGGCTTGTAGTATAACCTGTTAAACTATCCATTCAAACAACAGTCTTATTAACTCAGACAACAGCCCAATTTCAAGAGCCCAGTACACACCCTATAAGATGTGTCAAGGTGATCCAATCTTTAAACCTGGGGATCTGCAGAACATCATGTTTTATGCATCCTTCACCATCACCTTAAGGTCTGTGAAAAGCTGTTAAACTTGCGTAATTAAGTCAATAATTAGTGGGATTGGCCAGTTAGGAGCTGGAGTACATCCCTGCAGAGACAGATCTAGATTAGATACCCTTGTGCAACAGCAAATATGAGGCCTCCTAACCCAGGGGATTTGTACACCCTTGAGAATTCAGGGGAGCAAGGTCACAGCAACAAGCTCATTATGTACGCAGAGATCATCCCTACAAATTAACAAGCCATCTATCATCTGGTAAGTTAAAGGACATTAAATGCAAATTATATCTGAATTTTAACCTGTTATTTCAATGAAGTATGTGTATTTTATGTGGGTACATTCATCCAGTCCATTGAGACTTCAAGTTCATGATAGACTCATTATTTAATAATAACTGTTATATGGGAAAATGCAAATTTTTATTTCCTTACTTATTTAATACAATTTTTGTGAGGGAAGAATAATAAAGGTATTTAAATATCCTTAGGTTTTAATGGAAAATGGAGAAAAATTGCCAAGATTCATTTTGTTCTTTGTTTTTAAACTAAGTCTAATCAAGTGGGAAGGTTGAGAGCCAATGGCTCAGTTTGATTGTGCAGACCTTGACCCTATAAGGTGAAAATCCTTGTTAAGCCTTAGCAAATTTAAACAGGACAGACTGGGTATGTTGAATGTGCAGGTATTTCAGTGAGTGGGCAGACTGTATCGATTGCGGAAACAGTCTGTCTCTTCTCACCCTGCAGCAGAAGTAATGTTTCTCCAGCAAACAATTCTGGGATTCATCACACCAGAGGATGAAAAGTAAAAAAAAAAAAAGTTTTTTTTTAAGAAAAAATCTTTCTGTCTTTTTATTTGTAAGATTAGCATCCTAAAAAGCTGTCTAATGCTTTCTCTTCTTTTGTGGAACTTCGTGAGGCAAAAACCAAGCTTCAGTTTTTAACTGAACAGAAAAGTTAATTCAATAACCCCTTAAATTAGTGCAAGTGTAAAGAGTTACTAAACAATGGACACTCTAAAAGGCAGCACTAGTAGCATGTGCCAATCACTTATAACAATTGTGACACTTAGTGTAAAGTTTTGCTGGGAGGCTGTGACAATAATTTTAAATCACCGTAGAATCAGAAGGTGTTCAAGTTGAGCCACATCCTTTGTGCTTCTATTATTACTTTGGTCATGCTTTGATAGGTAAAGAGGGTGAAATTAGCTTTGTTTTTGTTGTTTTTACTTGGCTTAACACTTATCCTCTACATCACTTTTTAGCAACATCAGTTTAATAAAGCAAGAGGAGAATGTTACACTAAGATTGTACTGTCTTTTCACAATCACTGCTTGAAACACTAGGAGTCTGATGCAATGCAGAGCCACACATTCGCACACATCAACCAGTCATTCTTGTTTTCTTTCAAAGAAGAAAACTGCATTGAGAAAGAATACAAGTTTCTCTTTTTTAGTTCCTGTGGAGTGAACACAATGCTTTTCTCCAGTATTGTTTTTGTTTATCAGTTTTAAAGTTCTGAGGTAGCTTTTCAAAATTAATGGATGACCAGACTAGTTGTGCCATGGTGCAGATAATTAGATAATTCTCAAACTTTGCTTGTTTGCATGTCAGATGCGCAGCCAGTTAATTGCTCGTGTGCTCAGCTATAATGTGCTCATTAATTCTGTACCCCCAATGACCAAACTATTCTGATGAGCCTGAGGTGCTGAAATGCCATTATTTTGTGCTTTCACACTTTCTTGTTGAAACTGAATAGTCATGACAATGAAATACTGTAGAATTCAACAAAAGATGTGTAAAGTGTGCACACTTACATTTGCACAAATGCATGCATGTGCAAATATAATAAATAAAATACAACTACAGCAAATGTACATATTCAAAGAAATCACCTTCTTATAAAATATGCAAAAATTCAGTCTGAAACTGGTTCTGCTAACATGTATTAAAGCTATGCTATGCAATGCTGGTGGGTTAAAGGAGAAAAAGAATCTGAAATTCTATGATTATTTACAAAAAATATATGAAGGTACATACTATAAGAATAGCTATAGCTGAGAGGAGGGCATTGAGTTCATATTGCCCACACTATTGGATTGATAGTATGTTATTGATCCACAAATCTCATCAAATGTTTTCTTGCAGCCTTTTTTTCCCCTAGGAAGTCGGATAAACAACATGGCCAGGCAATTTGTTCCAGACACACCATGGTGTTTTGTGTGATGTACAGCCTCTGTTTTGACTCCTACTTTTTCTCTCATTTCCTCTAGTTTCATTTCATTCTTTTGCGAGTTTCTATCCAGGATCTTGAATATGTAAAACAAACCCATTTACAATCTCATTTTTTCAAGATGCAGTTTGATTTAACAAGTCTGAGATGTTTTGAAACTAGGAATTATCCTAGTAGCTCTACTTTGAGCTCTTTCTGAGACAGAAGTCTTTTTTTATTTGAAGTACATTACCAAAGAAAATTTAAAAGATGGTATCAGAGATGAACATAGTCTTAGGTTGTCTATCTATAGCACAGTCTGACAAAGGACTGTTAATAAGCTACAACCTTTCTTAGCACAGATATGATTGGTGTGAAGTCTGTAAAAATAATAAACTGTAGGGCCTGAACTTCCAATTAACATCCCCAGTTTGAGGTTGATGTGGGAGAGAAGGCTTATTACTAGACATTGGGTTTAAAGGACACAAACTGTATCTTCCCTTGGGCAGAAAGACGAGAACAAGCTCTTCAGTGGCCAACATATCGGTTCTCTATCTTGTTTTACAAGTATATCTCACCACTAAATTCTCAAAGTATAATGTGACACAAAGGGTAAATGATGGGACTGTGATGCTCTGTCTTCTGTCTTGTTAATTTTTTGTTTCATACAGTAAATAATGTCTATACATAGATAGTGAGAATAAAGAGGCACTGACAGGCTCCTCTGAACTACTCTCCCACCAACTCAAGTCAGTCTTTTGACCTTTCAAGCTCCTCAGCGACTTACTGTACAGCATGTCCAAGTAGCATAATGAAGAACAGCACATTTCGGATTTGCTACCTTACTTTGACTAAAGTGAATCTGCTTCAACAAATGCAAATATATCAGTTAATATAGTACCTTCTTGCTTCATCTATGACATCTCTGGAGTAATCATTATCCTGTAAGCCTGGATTAAATGGTTATGTACTGTAGTGGGAATCTTTTTACACTTCCCTCAAAGACCCTAAAAGGTGTTAGTTAGTGATATAGGGGGTTAGGAAGGGGCATATGGGGTAATCCTTCTTTTCTTTTCCAAATAAATGTCATGTTTACAGTTCAATATGGCCCTTACCATATCCTCACTTTATAATATAAAACTAATGTATGGCCATTATATTTTCCCCCAAGGGTGAAATAAATTTTTACATTTACATTTTTTTTTACATTGCTGCTGTAGTTTTGACTTCTTCAAACTTATGACAGAATATCCTGGAAAAACTGTCACTTAGTACCTTGACTGTTTCTTTTTTTACTTTCAGAAAGAACCACACAGTATGAAATATCAAATTTCCTCTTTATCAGATGATGATTATTTTATTTAGATTATATCCATCTTTTATTAAGAACCCAAGTGAACTTCACTCAGTGCATAGAGTTTCAAATATCTCTGTGAGCCAGAAATAGTGGTAAAAATAAATATTCTTCCCAGTTTGATTTATTAAAACAGGTAGATACTTGTCAGTGTTGTATAACAGAGGGGCAGTGTGTCTCAACATTTATTCCACAAATGGGATTGCTGTTTAAAATAACTGCTTATTAGGTACAGTATCTTACCTGTGTCCAAATTAAACAACATCTCATTAGGATTTCAAATCTTCCAGAGCTCTCTTTTAAGTAAAGACATAGAATAACTGACAATCCAAATACTATAACTTTATACTGTATATGCTATATGTATGTACATAGTATATAATAATGCTATTGTATATCTTAAAAAGACTATATAAATATGGGAAGGAAAACACAAACATATTCATTCAACTAATCTGTAACATTCTGGTAAGTGGTCATTAAAAAACTACCAAGAAATGTGCATATAAAATATTTTAAAGGTCCAATTTTAAAGATCAGATATTCCACAGTCTTCAGGACAGTTAATTTCAATGTCCTGATATTTACCATCAGAAAGATAGTTTAATGATTCCATTTCACGGGTCCAGCTCTGTTGGGAAAACTGATTTGGACTCCCAGGTCATGGAGTTGTCTACTCATAATTGCATTGTCTCAAATTATTTGCTAAAACAATTATTTGCTAAAACAATTCATAGATTCTGCTTCAGAGTTTTATAAAATCAACTCAAGATGCTCACAATTTAGTCTCACAATTTAGATATGTAAAACAGAGGTTGGGACTTTAATACT